CTGGTCATATCTATCTATCTATCTATCTATCTATCTATCTATCTATCTATCTATCTATCTATCTATCTATCTATCAATATATATAAATGATTGTGTGTGTGTGTGTTTGTGTGTTCTAGCATAACTCTGGAACGTCTCAAGCAATTTCAACCAAACTTGGTACACAGATGACTTACTCTCTGGAAACAAATACTGTGGAGGTAAAACACCCCTAATACCCTGGGGGAGGGGGGGAGGTTCTGTTAAGATACAGCCTGTTGTGCCTTAAAATGGTTTCTACTGTACTGCCTTAAAATGGCTTCTTTTACAGCGCTGTGGAGTTGCCATGGTAACGGCGTCACAGTACTCCACAAGGGGGCTCCCTCTGGTAATTCATTCTATAAATGGAATGATTTCAGCACTTTAACTCATATCTTAAACCATTTATTTTGCTACTTTTACTTCTATAGCGTGGGAAGAACTCTGTACTCATACGCTACATCCATCTGTCCTTTAACATCCATCTTAAGAAATACACTTGCCTCCAACACAACTTTTTCTTTCTCGGTTTTGATCTGCTGCTCCATTTCTTCATACAGATGCTGGATTTCATCATCGTAGGCAGACATTTTGCTGATATGGGATGTTTTAAAAATACAATAAATTACCTCTGGGTTGGAGCATCAGCAAAAAGGAGAGACGAGAAACCGGATAATAATAAAGGCGATAATAACCGGTTCCTTTTGAGGGACAGTCCAGTGCGAATAGGTAGGAAAATGTACCAGATAAACCTACAGCTGCTTCGCAAATCACGCTCAGGAACATTTCCATATAGGGAGGGTCTCGGGGGGTGGAAGAGGCAATTTTCACCCTCCCCAGGCTCCTGGAAAGCATCTGGAGCCTCGGAAGGGCAAAAAACGGACCTAGCGGGCCCACCGGAAGTCAGAAAACGGTCCGTTTCCGGCCACCGGAGGGCCTCCGGGGGGCGGGGGTGGCCGTTTTTGCCTTCCCCAGGCTCCGAGAAAGCCGTGAGCACATTGGGGGGGGGGTGTCACATGCACATGTGCAGGAGGCACGCCACGGGGAGCATTAAATTATGGGGGTGGGAACACAAGAACAGTGCGTGCCCCTGTGCTTTTGGCACCTGAGGTGAAAAATGTTTACCATCACTGAACCTTAATAACTGTGGCAAGAAAGGCAAAATTCCCTTAGTGTCTTGCTTAGCCACAGAAATGTTGGGACTCAACTGTAACTGTAAATCGAGGAGTATCTGTACATCCTAGACGCAGGTTTTATGGGCAGTTAACGGGGATGGATATTATACTCGTCGCGGGGCCAAAAACCTCATGCGGGTGCCATAAAACCGGCTGCCGTAGCCTTCGACATGCGTTACACTTTCATGGGGATGTTTCTGTCCCAAAAGAATCCCGGTGAAAGAAACCTGAGGTAAATCCCCCCCACCCGAGAAAAGCTCTCGTAAAAGAAGCGCTTACTTTTGCAAGGCGCACTCCAAGGTGTTCTTTTCATCGTCAGCTTCGTGGAGCTGAGAGAAGATTTTTGTCAGGAATTCTTCGAAATTGGAAAGTAGGTGAGGCTCATGTTTCCTCAGGTGCAACCAGAGTTTCTTCACGTCGTCTTCACTGAGGCGGGGGGCCGGGGGAGAGATAAAAGAAAAGCAAAGAAAATGCAGATTAGGATCTAATTCTCAAAGGTTTTTCAGTAGAAAATAGAATTTTAGCATTCTGGCACCATAAAGTAAGGATCCTGAGGATAGATGAAAGAATCAGTGGCTTTTTCCTTTCCTTTTCCCCCAATTCTGATTTTATTTATTTATTGAACTTACGTGGTCTTCCATCTTAAACCTAAGGCTGTAGGCAGCAGACAGAGAATAACAATTAGATTAAAAAAAACTTATAAAGGTAAATCCAGGTAGTTTTTGACTTGCAACCATAACTGAACCCAAAGCCTCCAATCATGGAGCACCCACAATTTATGGAGGCCAGCTGTTCCACTGATTAATTGTTCTCACTCATTACTTCAGGGCAACAAGTGGAAAGAAACATTCTAGAGGATTCTGTTTTCCACTGTGGGAATCCCAAAGCCCGTTCATTACATCATCACCCAGCAAAAGTCAACCAAGCTTGGGACTCAGGACGGCCTTCAGAGTTGCCCCTGCATGGGCCCATGGGAGTGTGACAACCAACCAGAATACAAGCTCAAAGTCAAATCCCAACAGAGGATATAAATATATATATATATCTCTCTCTCTCTCTCTCTCCCTCCCTCCCTCTCTTTCTCTCTCTCAAACTCTCAATCTCTCTCTCTCTCAATCTCTCTCTCTCTCTCTCCCTCCCTCCCTCCCTCTCTTTCTCTCTCTCAAACTCTCAATCTCTCTCTCTCTCAATCTCTCTCTCTCTCTCTCCCTCCCTGTCTCTTTCTCTCTCTCAAACTCTCTCAATCTCTCTCTCTCTCTCTCAAACTCTCTCAATCTCTC